AGTACCATAAATCATCTTTCCTGTACGTGTAAAAATGTTTGGGTTCGTTGGGGGAAAGTCAGTTGATGAGAATGTTGGAGGGTGTGCATGTACATGTAGTTCTAATATAGATTTTACAGTATATATGCATTTTAAGCATCAAAAATGACACTAATATAATATAATATTTAGTCATTTTTAATTTAACCATTCAATAAACATACGTGTGACATGATAAAGTTTGAATCTGGTCAGTCAAGGCATGTCATTGAACTGCATTAATTAAAACAAAAAGGCCACCAGATACAAGTAAGTAAGTAAGTAAGTAATTCTTTATTGCTATCGTATCCCATTTGAGATCTTGACATAAAGTACAATAAAGTCAAAAACATGTAATAATAAAAAAAAATGAAAATAAAAGGAAATACTAAAAATACTGTAAATGAATGAAATAAATACATATCTCACAATAAGAGATAAATGAATAATTGTAATATAATGTAAATAAATGTAAATCTGTGTTTTGTGGGGTTTTTTTTGAGACAGCTGGTACTGAAGTTATTTTTTTTGCTCCCTAAGCATAAAGCAAGTATAAATGTGTTTTGAAACATCTTTAATTATGTGATCGTTTTTATTATTTAATATGTTTATTAATGTCTCTCCATACATTTTATGTTTAGTAAAAAGGCCAGTTCTCTCTTTATCATATAGCTGGCACGTGAAAAGGAAATGTTTCTCATCTTCAATTTCTCCAAGATCACAAACAGTGTGAACTGATGGACAGAGGTCATAAATCCCTGTTTTCAGACTTCATCTAAAATATAAGTTGACTTTTTGCATTCATATATACACGTTACAAATTTTTGGCATAAAACAGACAGAACATGCATAGCAACCTGAATTTGAATAGCTGTATCAAGGCGGCTGCCCAAGTCAGTTGACTGAAGAAAAACAATTTGACCAGAACTTGTAGGAAACTGTTTACAATAAAGATACTTGAAAGGAAATGAGCTCCATTGTTAGGCCTAGCAAAAAAAAAAAATATTAGGTGGAACACAAATTTTGTAAGTTCAATAATTCATCAGCTGGGGTGCTGTGAAGTGTCGAAATAAATGATAAAAAACAAATCAAACCAGACTTTATTCGGTGGTGTGCAAGCTGACCAGAAACAGCAGTAGGGCATAGGTTTTATTTTAAACCTTAAATGAGCTTTTAAACCAGATCTCCTCAACTAAAACCATGAATCTTGGGAGTGTACCATGGAATCATGGGATAATAAGGTGTTAGGATGATCAGGCCCTGGATGATCAGGCCCTGGTTGCTTGCGGCCCTGGTAAAAAAAAACGATCCGGTCCTGGTTTGGATGTTCCGGCTCCAAAACAGGTAGGTCGATCCGACCCGGGTATAAATTATATTCGATACGTGTTCATATCTAATGGTAATATATTAAATGCACAACGAATGTGTGACTATCTTATTCACAACTTATTTTTTACCTTTTGCAGGGCATTTGTTCACGATTTAACATCATGTATTACACAATGCAACAGATGTTTTTTCATTTACTCGCCACCACCTTTTTATTAAACACCGTATGGCCCGAGTGATTGACACATGGACATGTGCAGCCACAGACACAGAATACACATCTAATACAATCTGTTTCAGTCAGGGTTTGAATGCACAATTATGGCTTGTGGCGTAATGAATTAAGAACGTTAATCGACAGG